ACAGGTTCAATGGCTGTCTACAGGGTGTGCGCAGAGATTGTTAAAACGCAATTAGAAAAAACGCCTTTCTGAAATACCTTTTGCATTCTGCCCTGAAGGGACATGTTGCTGTCTAACATAATCATGAACTCAGGTGGAATGAGATGTGGATATTGCTGGCAGGGCCTGTATGCCGCTCTTCTTTTACTCCTATTACCTATATGAATGTACGATGTGTTTTAATGGTTTTATGTGAAGCTGCTCGTGCTGCCATCTGGACCAGGACTCTGTGGAAGGAGAGATTTTTTATATCTCAATATGCTCAATAAATGATGGATAATAAAAGGGTTGTGCATATAATGTTGCTCTTTCTGAAAAGTAAGGTCCATTCATTTGTATTCAGCTTTCCTCTGACTTAAGAGCACAGTCAACTGAAGCAGAGCAAAAGACACAAGAAAAGACATTGTGGTAGTCTGAAAAATAGTAAATATTAAAGCCTTGCCTTAAAAATATGTTTTCTGTGTCATTAGGGCAAGACATCGAGGGTTACCAGCCGCTGTGGTTCGAGAAGAGGGCGGAACATTCGGGGGAAAGCACCTACATCTACAGGGGAGGCTACTGGGAGGCCAAAGACAGACAGGACTGGAGCATATGCCCTGATATCTTCTAAGAGGTTCCCCTTACAGCATGGCATCAGGAAAGCTGAGAGGTTCCTCCGTATAGGTTACTCCATGACTTATGGACAGCTGTGTGTATGTGGATATGTGTGTGTGTGTGTGAGTTAGTGAATGAACAAAGTACTGAAAGCAGCCGTCACTCCCAGAATTTCAAGCACAAAACAAGCTCCTACTTCCTTCTCTCTCCTGATATACTCTAACTTATCTTTTCCGAACGCATGGCTTCAGTGTGTGTGAGTTGTATGTGTATGCTTATTCAGCACCGCAAAGAACTGATTTATGGGAGTACATAGAGTTCTCATGTGTGTCTGTGTGTGTTGAGAGGGGAGGATCGTGCCGGGGAAGTTTTGGTACGGAATGTCTTGTTCTCCTCAAAGCTGGAACAGCATGTTCTTCATGCTGGGCTCTGACAGAGGCACCGGGATTTAAAGGAAAGTAGCAGGACTACGCTTTCTTCATAACTTAAAGACTTTTTCACAGCAGACCATTTATTGATCCCGCTGATTCTTGGGAATTTTTATTTAAATGCCCAAACTGTATTTTGAAGAGTTTACTGTCCAGTCTGACTGACAGCTGACAAGCAGCTACTGGACCTCTAAACCAAAGTAGAAGTCATTCTCTTTCGACGGACAAATGACTGAATACACTGATGTTTTACAGACACTGCTGCTTCCCACATCTTGAAATCAAGCTTCTGTTTGACTACATTAAAGGAGCACCTCCCCTATTAGCTATGAAGATTACTACACAGCATGTGGAAACAGTTGTACAGTTGGATGTTTTCACAGGCTCTGCAGAAAATGTGTCGAGTCAGAGAAAATCACTTAAGTGACGTCACTTGAGTACTCTCTGAGAACACTATTAGGTTGCATTATGGGAAATGAAGGCTGCAGCATTGAGCTCGACCAGTGAGAGTCAGGATACCTTTGTTGAATATATTTGGATCACTTTCTTTTAAATGTGTCTTTAAGACTTAATGCAAGCGCAACAGTAATTAACTGCAGGAACACAACGCGAACGTTAAACCGGCTTAGCCTGGGGGATTTTTTTCAGCAAAGAATTATATTGGTGCTTAATGGTAATTTTAGCCTTATTTATGTAATGAAGTAGTAAATCCCAAGTAGTCACTGCATCCCACACTCTGAGATTGTGTACAGATTATAGAAATCCGTCAAGCTATTTTTTGTTTGAGGGGATTAACATTCAGGGTGATTTATTTTAAGAAAAATGTACACAAATAACTGGATTTATCATACTTTAAAGTAGTAACAAACTTGTTTCCCAATAGTTTAAAGTGTAGAAGATGCTAGCTTTGTATTGGTGTCAATCCTAAAATGGCTTTATTTGGACATGGCAGCTATAACATAACTGCACGGTAACATAAGAAGAAAATACTCCCAGGTCAGAGGCGTGTTTTAGGCAGCACAAAAGTATGTTTTGGCATTCAATTAGCTGAAGGATCATTATGTTAAGGAATCAGATTCAAACACATCGGTCAGGACCAGAAAACCTTATTAAAGTAGGCTTGGCAATAGTTTTTTTGTGTGTACATTAGTAGTAAATATATATACTATAACCAATATTAACCTCTGTATTTATAGTTTTCATCAAATGGTGTACTATAATAGGGCATGATGCACATGTACATTTAGCCGGTTGCTTTTGGCCTTTATATAGCAAGAATAGAATAGCCTAATGTAGAATCACTGTAAGGAAATATTGTTTCACATTACTTGAACATTTACATTTTGGGCACTTCTTAAAATCTATCTGTGTATCTTAAATGGAGTCAGGATTGTATACCAGTTATACTGAGATGTTGGAGGAATTCAATGATGATTATAATATATATAATAAGATGATAGAAATAAGGTGTTGTTTAAATAAAGCACAATGTTATGTTTCCTTGCAGGTAATTATCATGGTAATTACACATATTACATCATCTCAACATATAGCTATGCATGGTTTTAGAGTGCATTTCTGTAGTGGAAGCCTCTTCACCTAGCTAATTGTTTGGACTCTTTACTGAAACATGATGTGAACTCACCTTTTGTGCCCAATGACCTGAAAAATGTTATATTTTTTAGCTCAATAAAAACATAAAGCTGTGCTGTTGTTATACTGTCACACCACTGTTGTTCATGTGCATGTAAATGAAGCTTTCCAGAGAAACTGTGTCTGTCATGATGCATCAAGAACAACAACCCATTTATCTTGGGACAGTGTCACTATTCTGGGATGAGGTCAAATGTCAGACAACAAAAAAAGAAACAAGACACCAGAAATGTGTGTTAACTCATGTTTACGATATGCTAAAGGAATATAAGGATATCTAAACATCCCATAAATGTTAACTCAGGTTTGTTCTCCATTATGTTACAGACATACTTAGGTTTTTCTGAACTTTTGTAATAGTTGTTTCTTTTATAATTAATCATCTGGTGAATTTTAGCAAGAAAAAGTAAACACATTTTGCATTCATCGTGGTTTATGTGATGATTTATACTTTCACTTGACTGAACTGGTATCATAAACGACATGAACATTTGAATTGTGAACATATATTTGCATTAAGCTTTACTCAACGCCCTGAACAGTATGATTAACAAACCTGTTTCCTCAACAAACTATGTCCTAAAAGTCATTACACTGTGTAAAGTTGAGGGAATATTGAATTGGATGGTGTGGTAATACACTAATATCTCTAATTTGTTTAGGTAATTATCATAGCCTATTATTGTTATTACTTTAAACAAACAAAGAACACATGCATCTGTTATAGGTCATTATTAGCATTATGTAAATTAAACCCAGATGTTGCTAGCTACTGTATGTTTTCATTTTCTGTGGTGATATTTGCATTTTGCGGTTGAGCAACGAAGTGAGCAGCATCGCCCTTTAAAACGAACATCCAATGACACTGAAGCGCGTCCGCTGCCTCGACCAGCCTGACAGCACGGTGACCCACAGCCGGAGGTTTATGAGGGATGCTGCTGCTGACAGTGTTGTGGAGGTACTCGTCGAAGAACAAGGTAAAAACCTCATATATTCTAAGAAAATGTCAGTGACCGCAGTTGTAGTTTTGCTAATGTTGACTATACAAATGTAAGCCAACACCGTGTCAGGTAGCCAGAGTGAAGGTTGGTGTTGTTTTGTGGTAGCAACCTACTGCTAGCTGTAAGCTTTAGCCGCAGTCATACATCTGCCTTCAGAAGTGCGCTGGTCGTTGAAGCCGATTTTTGGAATGGCCATTGTGGCCAAACGGTGATACTACAACTAACGTGACGTCATGTTGGCCCAAAAAGACTAGTTCCCAGTCTAACATTTATTTTTAAGCCAATTAAACTTCATGCATGAACACTTTCATGGCCCTTGTTTAAAAGATTAGGGTTTAAAATGCGCCAAAAGCTGAATCCATGGTTATTTTACCTCTCCATTCATTTGACTCATGGGTATATAAATAAGAACTGAGCCGAGAGCGGGAGATCGGAGGAGGGGTTTAAGGAAAACTGAAGTGAGCATGCTCTGTAAACAAAAGTACCCGGATTATCCGGGTACTTTCTGAATCTAAAGTCGCTCCAATGTTAGGCTTCATGCGCCACTGAGCGACTCTCATAGGAATGAACAGAGCCCGTCTCCGACTCAGTATCCAGTTGTCTTTATACATGTTTAGAGTCCAGTGACAGTCTGTAGCAGAGGTGAGCTAACCTAATCAACCTTGTTTATCATATTCTGTCTCAAAAAGAAAATGTTGTGCTCTTGTGTTAACGGTTACTGAGGCGCCAAACGGGAAACCGCTAGCTACATGTTATGCTGTGTCAAAATAAACCCCGAGCTAGTCTGTGTTTATGAACAACAACAGTGAGTTGTCAGGGTTTCCCTCTGCTACAGTCAGTGCTGGGAAATGAATCACACGATCTCATTGGGCAATGAAGTAAGCTGCTATTTAAAGCCTTAACCATCACCTCTGTCAGCTGCGGCGGCGGCACTGTCTGGTATTTATTACATTTCCTACATGTATTGCATTAGTTTGCCTATGGTGTTTACTTCAGTGCTGGGTTTTTTGGTGCAACACCGTGAAATCGTCCGCGTCAGTCCATTGCTGAATGTCAGGATAGTAACCAATCCCTCGGTCCTCTTATGGGGAGACGGAACGTACTGTTTTCCAGCCCGCCCTCCTCAGTCCTCCCCCCTGTCTGCATTGCTGGTCCGGCATATGTCATTTTGCCTGCGCGGGGTAAGTTACACAACCACCCCGTCATGCAAAATAGAAACACGTGTCTATAGGCGGTGCTGAAAAATACAGGTTCACTGAATAACAAAGACCGGCTCACACCCGAGAGGACGGACAAATAGCTGTGTCGCATGTTATTTCACCGGTTTTTACTGCCACAAGCATGCCGGTTTGATCATGAATTTTAATTGGATATGACATGTGTTTTCCTTCCAGAGAGGACAATGATAAGAACATGATCAGCGCCGATGGCTTCTCAAAATGCGAGGCGACTCTTCCAGAGGGAGCAAGGAAGAGGCCACCCGCAGAGATGCTCCATCTGCTGTCAGCTGTTATTGTTTGGCTTGTGACGGGAACCACCATCTCCAGCCTCAACAAATGGATATTTGCCGTGTACAACTTCAGGTACCCTCTACTGCTGTCAGCGCTGCACATGCTGACAGCTATAGTGGTGGACTATGGGCTGATCAAACTGCAAGTGATCCGCCATAAAGAGTCTGGAGTGCAGGTGCTGACCCACAGTGCAAAATGTAAGGTGTTCCTGTTGAGTCTGACTTTCTGTGCGAGTATCGCTTTTGGGAACATGGGTTTGAACTATGTCCAGCTGTCGTTTGCACAAATGATCTACACCACCACCCCGATCTTTACTTTGGCCATCTCTACGCTGATCCTGGGCAAGCAACACCATTTCCTCAAGTACACAGCCATGATGCCCATCTGCCTGGGGGCCTCCTTCAGCATCATGGGAGAGGTCCAGTACGACCGGACCGGCTGCTTCTTTGTGTTTGCAGCCACCATGTTGAGGGGCGTCAAGACCATTCAGCAGAGTAAGTACAACTGAGCCTCTTCATTCTCCTGCCTCAGACTGTTAACATTTAGTTTTCTGTGTTTTTTCCTGTCACTATAGAAAGTTTCCTTTTTCATCTTTTAATACTCTTTTTATACTGGAAAATTCATCTCATGCCACAGACATCAGAGGTTATTTTAGTGCCTCACCCCCTCCTACATGGTCCTGGAACTTTTTTGATTCACTTCTCAGTTCAGTAACACACCCTTACATTAAAGTGGAAAGTCACACTGGCATAATTTCTGGTTACTTGGGGAACGTTATACAAACATCAATAGACAGACTGTACATGCTGATCCGTGGTCTGACTGGCATTGCTGGTTTATGAAAGAAATGGAAGAACTTTTTCAGTCATCATCAGCTGTTTTAATTCAAGGAAGCTCAGTTAAAGTGGACCTATCATGCTATATTATAATAATATAGTGTAGGACCATACCTATATAAGGCATATTTATACTTTTTTTTTTTTCAAAATACCAAACAGATCATGCATTTTAGCCATGCCTCATTTTGCTCAATTTGCACTTTTTTAGCTCTGTTTTTGCAAGCGCTGATTCTGTGAGAACAGCACCACCTACTGGCCTGGCATATGTACTACAGCGTCTCCAGCGCTTTCGAACGGCAATGGCCGTGGCTGTCTCCTCCTGATTGGTGGAGTTGGCCCAATAGCCGTAGCGCCACCGTCCTGACGTCAGGACAGTGTTCAAATCTGGATCAGTTTTTATCAGATCCGTTGCAGCCCCTTTTTTAGAGATTTGGGTATGGAGGAAAATAGAGAGGGTTGTGTTTTCTGACACTTGGTGAGTTCCCTGGAACACCGGGGACACATATTCATGTATAAAAGACGTACACAAGTGCATTTTGCATGATAGGTCCCCTTTAAGCTTAGATAGAGGTTCATTTATTTGTCCCCTACATTTCTGGACACTATTTGTTGTTACATACTGCATTTGGTGAAGAGACGCACAGAATCACTGTAGAGTATAGGATCTGGTAACATTTTAACATTTCTCGACAATTTATTCATTGTCAATTAATAATCTTTTTTTTGTTTAATTTTTACTTGCTGGATAATCCTGGTAAAAACAAAGAGGATTTTGATTACTAAACAAACATTTTGACCTTGCATGTATGTCAATAGCTTTGGTGATTCTTGAAAAAGAAAAGGATTCCTTTCTTGAACGAATGTTATTAAGGCTGAGTAGTGCCAATTATCCAATGTACTAATGTATCTAATGTTCTGTGTTCTCAGTAAAGCCTTTGTAGCAGGTTTTGCCTCAAAGTTAGTTTGTAGAGGATAAGGTTTTCTCACGTAATTAATCTCCATAACATTGTAGTTACCAGAGAAAAAAAAGGAAGTAATGAGTTTCTAAACATACATCAAGGTGTATATATAGAGCTCCTGTATTAAATGGTTATGTAACACTAAAGCAGTTATTCAGTTTTTCCCAGAAGGTTGTAAGGCTACATACTTGGTACCTCGAGGAGCTGGGGGGGAACCTCGAGGAGCCGGGGGGGCGGCACCTCGAGGAGCCGGGGGGGGGGGGCACCTCGAGGAGCCGGGGGGGGGGGGGGGGCACCTCGAGGAGCCGGGGGGGGGGGGCACCTCGAGGAGCCGGGGGGGGGGGGGGGGCACCTCGAGGAGCCGGGGGGGGGCACCTCGCGTCACGATTACTGAGGCAGGCTTGTGACTATCGGGTCATCAGTTCAAATAATCCGGTGTAGCTGCTCAGTGACACACAGTACAAGACTGTAAACATGTGCTTCACTAACAGGCAATGTAACTTCTGCCTTCAAAAAAAGTTAATAAAGTTAAAAAAGGAGGTCCTGCTTTTGGATTTGGAGGCAGAATGTGTAAACAAGGTCCAGCAGGTTGAAGCTGCTGCACATTACCTTTTGATTTGAATTGCCAAACTATCTAGAGCAGCGGTTTTCAAAGTGTGAGGCGCGCCTCCCTGGGGGGGGGGGGGGGGGCGCCAAAGAGCTTCAGGGGAGGCGCAGCGTGAGAAAATAATAACGAGGAATAGATGAGTAAAGTGTCACGTGCACACTTTTGGCCAATTCCCTTCACCTCTTTTGGAGTTCTGGAGAATCACAGAACGGCCGGTCGTCAGCGGTCCGTCGACGGCCGGCTCGGTTCGCTGACGGCCGGCACCGCTCTTTATTTTTTATGTTTTGAAACGGCATCATTTAAGTTGCGCTGACAGGCGAAAACATAAAGATAAAAAGGTTTGAAAAAGTGATTGTTTAATGTTTTAAGGAGGTGACGCTACTCGGCCTATCAAATGGGTGCAGTCAGTGAGTCAGCACGATAGATTCAAACACACTCACGAGACAAGAAGAGAGAAACACTCGGAGTCATTTCAAATGGCGTGCTCAAAAAAGAGGAAGGTAGACAGCGAAAACAGAGCATTTAATGACATGTTCTCTTACTGGACCTCTTTGAAATGCAATTGAATACCCCTGCATTATAGCAACAACGACAATAATAATAATAATAGCAATACTAATTGGCGCGACTGTTCTCATGTTCTCTGGGGGGAGGCTCACCTTCCCACACTTTGAAAACCCCTGATCTAGAGGTTGTCTCAAGTTTCCAAAATCTATTTCCATCTCCACATGTTGTTGTAACTGTTTCCCTTATAAGTTTACTTTTCTCTGACGCACTTTGATAGTGCACATGTTTTTGTTTAACGCAATTCCCCAGGTTTGCCACTGGCTGTGAACACTTCGAAGTGTTAACAGTGACGTGAGTTCTTACTGAAACATAAAGAGGTTTTATAGATGTGCTACTTGTCCAGACCCATGATACATGTAAGGTTCCAAACTGGATTTGCATCATTTCCTGCTTATCAGACAACTTCATAGCTTTGGCTTGAGTTCACAGAGAAGAGTCTGTCCTTGTTGTTTTGACTAGAAGCACACTGGAACCCTCTGTAATTATTACACTAAAATATAGGTATTTCGGGTATTTTACAGGCTTTTAAGTGGCTTAACAATTTCTTCGAAGTAGGAAATGCAGTTGAAGAAAAAATACTTTTGTCTTTGACATTTTCTGTGTCTTTTGGATCATTTTTGTAACTGCTGCATATGTTTTTGTGTTTACCTAAGGTTCTGTAAAAGACATTTTGTTCTTACAGTATATCTTATATTTTAGTTCTCTTGAGCACACTTTGTAGTGCACGCTTTGTAGTGCACGCTTTGTAGTGCACGCAGGGAATATAAGATAAGATGGGCCTTTATTTATCCCCGCAGGGAAATCACCTGTCATGGCAGCAACATAATAAACAGAAACACAGATATTACACATGGAATATACACAAGAATAAAAAGAATACAAGTCAAATAAAAAATAAAGTAACATGTATTAACCTATAATATAAGAATATAATCAGCACTTGTACATTTTGACTGTCAGGTCACCTTCCACAATGGCTGATATGTTATCCTTAAATTACAAATGTCATTTTTTAAAGAAACATTAAAAACTTAAGTCATAATGTGTATAAAGAACAAAAACCTTCAACATTGATTTTGGAAGCACCAGATGAAAAACAAGAAATGGCCAGGAGAAATGTTCAGTTCAAAGTCAAGCCAACTTTATTGTGAATCTTTCAGTTTGTGTGTGAAGACAGAGAGATCGAAATACTGTTTCCCACAATCATGAAGATAAAAAGAATACAAATATATATATATATATATATATATATATATATATATATATATATATATATATATATATATATATATATATAATTAAATAACAAGATATACATATTTGTATATATACATACACACACACACCTGTACACCCGTTACCTCCACAGTGGCAGTGGAGGTAAAACTTAAGTTCAGACCCTGAGTGAATGACGGACATCTTACAGTCAGACTTGATCTACACATGACACTGTCCATGTCAATAAACACGTTCATGTTTTTAACCGCCACAGTTATTTCTGTGTTTACCTAAGGTTGTGAAAATTGCATATTAGCAATCCTCTTTCACACTTGTTGTTACAGTTTACCTTATTAGTTAACTACTCTTTGTAAAGGAATTACATAAGTGCCTCTCATCTGTCAAATACAGTGTACATTTAACTATCGGGTAAATAGGTCACCTGCAACCACAGCAGATACATTTTCTTTATATATCCATTTTATAAGACAGTACCTTGGATAAAAAAACCTTCATTAAATACATGTATTACCTATTTCTACTGTATGTTACCACTGACTGTGTCCAATCAAACGCTTTCTACATAGATTTTTAGAAGTAACAGGGGCCAGTAGAAATGTAAAGTAACCCTCACAATAGCAGGGGAGGAAAAAATAACAGACCTTGAGTTGTTCAAAGTCTACACATGACACTGTCAATGTCAATCAACACTGTCATGTTTTGTAATGGCTGAAAACATGTCTCTGTTTCCTCAGGCATCTTACTCCAGGAGGAGAAGATCAACTCTGTGTTCCTGCTCTACCTGATGTCCATTCCCAGCTTCTGCATCCTGGCGGTGGCCGCTCTGGCGTTAGAGAACTGGGCCGTGCTGGAGTCCCCGTTTCACTACGACTGCCACCTGTGGGTCTTCATCCTGCTCAGCTGCCTGGGCTCAGTCATGTACAACCTGGCCAGCTGCTGCGTCATCACGCTCACCTCCGCCGTCACTCTGCATATCCTGGGCAACCTGAGCGTGGTGGGCAACATGCTGCTGTCTCAGCTGCTTTTCGGCAGCGAGCTCTCCGCCCTGAGCTGCGCCGGCGCCGTGCTCACGCTATCCGGCATGCTCATCTATCAGAACTCAGAGTACATCGTCAGCTTCATGGACGCACGCAAAGCCAAAGCTGAAAAGTCTGAACATGTGGATTCTCACACGACAAGCGGAGAGGACGTGGACAAAACGAGTGAATCTGAACCGACACACCCTCAGCCGAGAGCAGACGGGAAACGGGAGGATAAGATAGACTGAACAGAGAGGATGAAGGAGAGAATAAAACAAGTTGAAGGATGAAATGAAAAGCCTCTTGCTGTAGTTGTCTAACCGTTTGTGTCTGTAAGTGGTCAAGAGCAGCAGCAGAGGGAGTGTGACCTTATAAGGCCATAATCACTGATGATGTGACAGATTTATTCTATTTTACTTAACATCCTCCTTTAATTTCTTCTCTGGTCACACCGAAGACGAGTCTTTAGAGAGGAAGAGCTTGCCTTTATGGTGACGGTTGAATTCTCTCCTTCATCTGTAGATCACTCAACCCTAGCCTGTAGCGGTATATGCATGCATGAGCACACCAAACTGTCTGATACCTCATGAGGTATTCACACTGTCACTCATACTCCTCCACTGTGAACATGTCCTCCCTCTGAGCGTGTTTTGGGCGGCGGTCGTGGATCCTGCAGAGAGCCTGGTGTGTATCACTCCGTCAAATCTGAACGGCACAATTTGTACTAAAACTATATTTGAATGGTACTGTTACCTGACATTCACCTGTCACGTGAGGGACTGGGGTTTTGGCAGCTTTTTTCTTTTTTCTTTTTATTGTTATGTGAAGCAGGCAGCTTGTTAGATAAGGACACTAAACGTTATATTCAGAGGCAGAAGCTACAACGATGGACAAAGCCAACATAATTGTGCAATGAGACAACTCTTTTCCTCTACTGAAGCACATTTTAACTTAAAGAGGTCTGCATGTCTTGTTCTCACATATCACCCTCAGTGTGGCTGCAGTTAAGGCCTAGATTTTGTTCTCAGGCAGTCTCTGTAGAATAAGTCCAATTATTTCCATCACTGCGTTCCTCGCTGTAGCTTTCCTCAATAATTAGGTTCACGAGTTCTCTAAGGAGTGTCACTCAACTTTAGCTGCCGTGTCCCTGTGGAAGAGATAAGGGAAAAGACAATTAAGATGTCCTTTAAAGGTTGCTTCTTAAATCCAATCTTCAGTTACTGTAGGTTTGATGTTCCCCTCTCTGCCGGGGACATCTTCTTAAAGTTGGGAACACTTCCTGAAAAACTGACCTCTGCTGGACAGTGTTATGTTTTAGTTTTTTTCAGTATTTGAAAATCATTTTCCTGACATTATTTTATTTTGTGACAAAACACATTTTATCCCGCTTTTAATATTTGTTTGGAAGAAAATATGTATTTTGGAACGCCCAGAGCAGTCGCTGGCTTTGTGATGCTGTAGATTTAGGTCCTGAAGTGTCTTGCACATGCATAGGTTTTAACATTACAGTGAAGTCTGTTACGATCCCTCCGACATGTACGTTGTGCCAAATGTCTCCATAAGATTTCTGGTACCACTGTGCGAAATATTTGTTCTGTCATCAATCCAACACGATCATTGCTCACTGGCAGTTTGATTTCTCACAAGACGACGACAACAACAACAAAGCCATACGTCAAGGTTTTTTATTTATGACACCCGCCACGTTTTCTCTATATTTTGCCATAACAAATAACTGCAGGAAGCATTGTTTGCTTAAATATTTTACTATTGCATATTTAAAATGTCAAGGGTGCCATTCATGCAATTACATAACATCATATGTACACTTTTTCCACAGTCAGTTATTGGGAGAATACACATGAAAAGATTTTCTTTTGCAGTTTGATGAATAGTTTTGTGGGTGTAATATTTCAAAACTAGTTAAAAGATTGTGTACAGCAGATCATTTCACTGGTTTTACATGATTGAATACCTCAGATGTTAAATAGGAATTATTATGCCCTGTGTTCTTTTATTATTAACTACTAGACTGAGATCAAGCAGCTTGACACCCACCACAATAGAACTGCAGCATGTGAATGATTTCACTGTGTCCAGTAGGCCACAGATGTTAACATATTTCAAAACTCTCTAATGTTGTGTCCAAGGACTCCATCTTTTAGTTTTACCTCTTTTAACAATCACTAACTTGTGGGAGTGTGGCTGCTTGTCTTCATGTACATCATGTTGAGTAGATTATGAGTGTGGGGCAAAGAAACTGTTGCACTTAAAGAGGTTACGAAGACGCTGCCTTCAAAGCCTACGGTTCCTGTGTAAATACTGGTTTAAACTGTTTGAAAAGCTAGTTTGGTGTACATAGTTATTTTATGATAGTAGTGTATTTTATAGTCATATATGGCTGGTTTAAGCTAAACTGATTCAAGAATGAAGCGTTTGCCTCATGCCTTATTTGGACATTATGTAGATAAGACAGAAGTTATTTGATTTGCCATTTTGATCCATACTTTGAATGCCAACAGCGGCTGGTGCTTCTGTTGAGGGGTAAAGAAATGGGCGTTTCATAAACACTGCAGATGCTTGAAATAAAAATACAATAACAATTACCAAACCAACAACCTCTTTGACTCAAATATTCTTTCTTTTTTACAGTTAAAGTTTAAATTCATATTTCTATCCTAGTTTTTCAAAAATGTCAATGAAATATCTAACTTCTAAATACATGTGTATGGCATGATGGTGTTAAATGCTATTTTACCTTTTAATTATTTCCGTTTTTTTTTGCCATTTACAAGTGAAACTATTCAATTGCATACATTTACCACATTGAGTTGATGAAATCTGTACAAATTACGGCTGCAATTTAAGGTTATTTTTATTACAGATTAAACTTTCAATCTTTATAACGTGAAAAAATCTCCTGCAGTTCAACCTAACTAACAGTTGTCATAGTACTTTTTCTTTGTTAAATACATTTTGTTGTTAGACATCCAAATGTTATTTTTAAGCAGCTGTGCATGTTCACCACTAGGTGGAGCAATTTGTCTAATTCTGATTTATTAGATTATTCTCTAAATCTGCATGAATTTAAATACTAAATACTGACTGATGTAGTTAAAAAGTGTCACTTGCTAACTGTGTTTCTTTCAGTGTGTGTGTGTTAGTGTGTGTACGCCCCTGTCCTCAGATTCCTCTGTTTCTGTAAACAGAGTGGTCACTGCTCAGACTTTTGCCTGAATAAGGCAGTGCTCCTCAATTTTTTTTCAACCGTTTTAACCCGTTGTTTTCCAGTCACAGGAGTTTCACGCTGCAGCCTCCAGATGAAGCGGTAAAAACTGTGAAGAAAAGAAAAAGGTTTTGCCCCACAACATTTCACATGACATCATCGAGGATGCAGGGACTAGAGGAGGAGAGACTGCTGAGGGGGACAGAATCATCTCCCCTCCTCCTCCTCGTTCTCCTTCCCATCTTGGGTGGTTCCTGTAAGCAGCCTCCACTCGCTCTCCAAACATGCATCCTTATGAAGCGCTGCGGTGTGAGGTGTGATGTCAGGGCTGAGATCTCACAGCTCTCCAGTCAACTCTGAAGACACCCAGGACAGGCTGAACACTTTCTAAGGAGCCACAAAGGTTTGCACCCTGGAAACAGGTGGGTGACACTGCACCTCATCACACACATCATCAGGGTCTATTTCTCACATTTGTATTGCTTTATTCTTCCCATGTTTTGCTTTACGCTTCCTGCCTCTCCTTTTCCCCCTGTGTCTGAGCACATAGTTGTACGCTGCTATCAGATTCTTCTAGTTAGGGTCTTGTTCCGCCACATTACTATATTTGTACTTGTTTTTGGCCCTTCTCTGGTGCACTCTGGGCCTGAGATGAGGTTCTCCAGTAAGACAAACATTTCCTTCCAAGGCTGCTCACTTTGTGACTCACACAACTGTTTATATTTGAATGATCACAGTGTGATTTTATGCTCTGCTCGTGACATTTGCACGCGACAATACAAAGTATCTCGTCTGTGGAACAAATCCAAACCTTGTCAATAGTTATTTAGAACAAGTTTTTGCATTAATATGTTTTTTTTCTTCTCAAAACCCTAAGTGTGTTTTTGCCCCAACCAGTTGATTTGCTTCTCAAGAAATGGAATCAAAAACTGATGATGGATTAGTGGCCACGGTAGAACTGTCTGCTATTGAAGATGAAGAAGTTCTCAACAAGATGGTGAGCCGATGTGTGACACAGTGCTGGAAGAAAAAGGAGAGAGTTATCTTTTGTGTAAAGGGGAACAAAACTCACAGAAAACCTTGCATGTTGAATGAAATGAATCAGCCCTTTGTATTTGCTGCGCTGATGATATTTATTCACCCCTCTGACACTCTGGACATTTCTCAAATTGTCTTTTAAGCTGGATAATGCAAAAGATTTTGAAGAGAGAAAGATCTTACGTGCTGCATTAAGGGACCTGCTCAAGAAAAAGAGAGGTACAATCTGATGCAAATGACCATGATAGAATCTGCTATGAACTTCTGATGTTTTGCTCTATAACTAAATGTCCCACCACTCCTCTCTCCTCAGATAAGCGAGAGCAGGATCGAGGGTCGAGGCAGCAGGACTTGAGGCAGCAGGGGCTGAGTAAAGGAGGGACCACCGGGGGGGCTGTTAGCATCGGCAGAGCATCCATGAACCAGCAGCCTCCAACAAACAGTGAGCTTATAAAGATGTCAGACACTCGGTGATACTGTACTTCTATGTTTTGTTTGAACAATGAAGATTCTTGACTTTTGATTCTCTGCATCTGGCTAGAGACGTCAGGCCAGGCCTCTCCATCAGCAGGCAGGTGAGTCAAATGTGTTTTCAGTTTGACATGTTTGGTGTCTTTAACTGTAATGTCTGGGAACAAGTAAAGCGCTTATTTAATCCCAGATATGCCCATACACACACACACACACACACACACACACACACACACACACACACACACACACACACACACACACACACACACACACACACACACACACTTTTTCTTTTTTCTGGAAAGGGAGTGGTGAGCGGAGGGGGAATTCAGCTGGTTGCTTTCTGCAAACTCACGAGGCCACGAAATCCAACCACTGTACCTTTAAGTGCCCAGATCCACAAAATGTTACTTGATGTTTTGGAAATAATGATAAAAGGAACCACATCTTTTCTAGTCTGACCTTAATTATTTATTTAGTTGTTATTTGATGCCTTTGTTTTTCAGTCCTTTTTTTTTTTTTAAATACTTTTAAATGATTGGCTTATTTCATTAACAGATGCACTTTGCTCAGAATATAAACTCATATTCACATGGAGTATAGGTAAATCACAACAAAAAACTCAACTGAAATTGTATTTTAAGTAACTAAACAATTGTTATCCCTTGTTTTTATTTATTCTAATGTCTTTTTTATATCTTACATTGTGTTATTAAATGTTGCAATTTTTAGTCTTGCTTGATACATTTTTTTGTTGTAGTTTTTGCATTCGTTACTTATTTTCTGTGCTGTTTTAATGTTGCATTGTGAAGAGCTATGGTCTACATGCTTGTATGAAAAGTGCTGAATAAATAAAGTTGAGTTGAATGTTAACTGTGAGGTCAATCCTAATTTTTCACCCAAAAAAGGACAAAATTACATTTATTAAGCAAAGCATTTGTTGTCTTCATTTCTCCTTAGCAAGGCCAGTCCCGCTTTAGCCTCAGCCCAGAAATGTCCTTCTCCCGCTGCAGCACCCAACCTTAAAAATGTCAAACAGATGCTTCTGGACTGGTGCAGGGCCAAAACAGAGCCATATGAGGTAAACATGCCCTACGTCTTTTTGTCTGTAAATGATTGCACAGTGGAGCTAAATATAGCTCTGCCCCTTACGTTTCATTCTCTGTCACTATTTCTCCTAAACTGAAACAACCCAGGGAGTGAACATCCGAAACTTCTCCTCAAGTTGGAAGGACGGCATAGCCTTCTGCGCCTTGGTGCACCACTTCTTCCCCGATGCGTTCGAGTACTACACCCTAAACCCCACCAAGCCTAAGGAAAACTTTGAGTTGGCCTTCAGCACCGCAGAGTGAGCCGTCTTCCCTTATATGAAGAAGCAGGAGCATCTTGTCTGATACACAGTCCAGCCCTGTCTTGCAGTTCAAAACAAAGTTATTTATCTAAGTTTGTCTCAAGTGGTTTTGTCTCTGTGTCTGTCTGCAGGAAGCTGGCTGGCTGCCCCCCCCTGCTGGACCCTGATGACTTAATCCGGATGAAAGAGCCTGACTGGAAGTGTGTGTACACGTACATCCAGGAGTTTTACCGCTGCCTGGTGGAGAAAGGCCTGGTCAAAACCAAAAAGCGACTGTAGACTCAGAAAGGCTTTGATAATCAGCTGTGATTTTATAATTCACACAACCAACACGCACAAGCTGAGATCAAAAAGATAATACCAAGTGCCCTTTTACGTTTCGTCTGAGTTGATATTACGTATTTAATGTGTCTGGCTTATGTAAATGCACAGTGCCTTATGTGAAGCCTTTGTGTGGTTGTAGGACTCTTGCTCTCAGTGGACAGCTGGCGCTTGGGATAAGTGCATTCCTCTGAGATTACACATCTGCATTAATCCCAGTCACAGCTATGGAGACTCTGGGAACACTTTTTATCATGATGCTGTTGAGGGCCTGAGGGTGTGAGTATTAAAAACGCATTTAATAAAAATCCATCCATTATTCACTTTGTTCTTCTTTTTTTTTAAATAACTGATGGCTAAACTTAATTGTACTGTAGATACTAAGTGTTTTATTTGCCTTGAGACGTTATTCAGCAAGTACGCATGTATTATTTAAGACTCTTCTAATTTGTAATAGATAGCTTTGATATATGTTCGGCTTGGGCTTCAGACTTTACATTTATAATGGCTAACCTGTTAGAAATGTAGGACTATTAGTTTAAAAGAGGCGTTCAATGACAAGAAATTTAATTTGTAGGATCCAGTGTTTTATGAGCTTGACAAACACTAGAGACTATTTCACTTCTTCTTCTATCCTCTGCCTTTTGTGAGGCCCCTGATTATGGAGGTGCAATACTAAAATGGCTGGAATACTCCTTTTTAATACAACAATAACTCTTAATCTAACTATTATGTGAGGAATCTGTGTGTTTGTAGGTGCATCACATTCATCCGTTCCACTTCACACTTGGTTGCCGGGGCCCCAAGGGAGTGCAGTGCCAGATGTGGTGTTTTTTGGCCAGATGGTAAAATTATAACAACAAAATTGGCCTGAAACTTTTGGACCGTAAGTTTCAAAAATAAAATCTGTCCATCAAGTTGAATCTATCCGTGAAAGCCTCGCCTGAACCTATTGCCACCTAGATTTTCTTCTTTAAATCTTGAGCAATGGTCACCAGTTTTGATGCAGGACATCTTTTGACCAAACCAGGAAAAGTCATCGTTTCGTGTTTTTGATGTTCCTGACTGTTTTGCTAGCTGGCCCTTATAACCATAAACGTCATATATCCTATACGTTTTGCGCTACTGCAACCATTTTTATGAGACGAGTGTAGATACAGTATGTTGTCTGAGCGACTATGATCAATTCTGTGTCATTTTGTCAACACGTGGCGCTGTAGCAGCATCGTATAAATATAAAGGAAGGAATCTCTTTCTCCAGATGTGCACTCTATATGTATCACTGTCCCTGGCATTTTTCAAAAAGCGATGATCCAATCAACATGTTTAATGCTGATTACCCAAGGGAGTGCAGTGTTGAGTGCCAACTCGATTGGATAAATGGTTAATGGCAACTTGTCAAGCACTTCCGGGGTCCAAACAATAGGCTCAACTCAAAATGGGCACGGCCTCCAAACAGCCACCTCCTGAAGAGGCACTGCACTAGTAATCATAATTGCAACGGGCATTTTGACAAATTGCACAGTTCATGTGCTAAATAATGTTTACTTTACATTGTAACTTCCAAGGGAAATGTTCTGTTTCAAAACTGGAAAAAATAGCTCAAAATGTAAAGATGTAGCGGGGGAAAAGAGACAAAAAGATACATCTAGGTAAATAGGTCCAGTCTTTTACGGATAATTTCGCCTTGATGGTCATATTCTGTTTAAAATGTGATGGTATTTCAGTGTAAATATATTTTTTTATAAATCAGGAAAATATTAAGAAAAACTCAATGAAATAAAAAAAACACCACATCGAATCAAAAAATATATGTCTTTACAGAAATGTCCCTGTATAAACAGCAAGATCAAAAGTTTTAATTGCAGAATAAATTAATTGATTGCATACCAAAGATTGCACAGACTGAAATTTAGATATTGGCATGCTGATCAATTCCCCCCTCCAGTGACGCACTGGTGCCAGATTAATGCGTGCGTCAGTGAAAGGACAGATGTTCAATCATTTCTGGCCTGATGCCCTTTTTGGCAGCTGATTTTTGTTTTGCCTTTGATGCTCTGCCCGCCCCCTCAGGTGCCCTCATATTTTACCCAGAGTGCACAGAGCGAGGGAGGGAGAGAGAGATGGGTGGCAGAACGGCCGGTGTGCTGGAGGTGGATGACCGAGAAGTGCTCATCTGCTCCGGCCAGCTGTAGACGGTAGAGACAGTGATTAGTAGGATGAGTTATAACCAGCCGTCGTGTCGTTGTTTTATACATAAACATGAAACACACCGGAAACATCAACCGTGACCGCCTCCCCCTGTCCTGACAGCCGGAGTCCTTTGCACCGACACGGACAGGCTCGCTGCCCGCGGTACCGACGGGGAGCCTCGGTCCTGCAGGCGGGCTGCTGCTGGGTCCGGACCGAACATCTTCAAATCCAAAACCTTTTTATGTGACAGCCCTGTCGCGTTGATAGACGTGTGAAAAAACAAAGGAGACTGATGCTGATCCCCTCTGTGAAATCACCTTCGCGGTTCACCTTGGAAATAAGAAAGTAAAAAAGGAAAACGCATGAAAGGTAAGACTGAGGTTTTCATGAGGATGTTTTTATTGCAGCTGCGTGTGTGTGTTGATTTTGAATGAGAAATTGTGCTATGTGGTGTTTTCCATGAGTCCAGCCTGGTGTTATGAAGCTGTCATTCCCTTGACTTGCAGGATCATGGACTATGATGTGAAACTGGATCACTGTGTGAGGTGGCACTTCATCTATCAAAGTTTCTACTTTTAAAGTGAATTCATTATAACCCCTTCTGACCACCATTAGCCAGAGCTCTGTTTTCCAGGTTACTACTGTGGTCACATGAGATTCTCTGTTATACTCATTTGCATGTCATGAATGATTTACAGAGGTGTATAATTTCTGAGGGCACACACACAAAATGGTGGGAGTCTTCCTTCTCCTTGTGACCTACAGAGAGTGTTGACATTGTCTGATGTGCTCCGGTATCAGCAGCTCTGTGGTTGGTGAGCTGCTGTGGCGCGATGTACACTCCCATAGCATCCCATAATGAGCACCCAAAGTCTATTGCTCTGTAAAAGGGTCAGGAGGCTAATTAATGTTGCCAGGCAACAAGGATATAATCCAGGTCGGAGGTACAAAGTTATTTCCTCAGATCAGGGGTGGATAATAACTAAGTGCATTTAATTCACTATAATTATCTGACAGCTGTGGCAACCAGTTCCTTACAGATTCAAAATATAACATATAATCAATCATGATTTAATAAAGCAGTATATAAAGTGGTTAGAAATAGCCACACCTTAACCAGTTATAATTGAAATGCTTGCACATTATTGTACATTTTCATTTTAATCCAATGCCATCAATATGATGCTTATACGTGTTGTGTACTTTACCTTGAGAATACATAGAAGTATTCACATACTCACAGATTATTTATACGCTGATAATTATTCACACTTTTACTTTATTATTATATCCGAGCACTTCTTCTGTCACCGCCTCAGCCCGAGTGCTTACTCATGATAACGTCATCGGTGATGTCTGGGCAGCTTGATGTGGAGAGGACAGCTGCTCAATATGATGTGATACATTTACGTCACTTCCGCTCTGCTGTTACACCTGTTTCCCAATAACAACTCACTGATTGATGTTGAGGAGCTTTTTGCAAGCCACACTATCTAATTTGAATGTCAAATGTGTCTTTTCCTTACAACCCTTTGGAGAAGAATGTCTGTAATCAGCAGTGTCAAGTGACATCTAGTAGATTTTTGGAGGTACTTGTATTTGACAATTTAAATATAACCTTATACTCTACTACATCTCAGAGGCAAATATTGTACTTTTTTGTCCTTTACAGTTTCTCATACTTAATGTGTAACATGTTACTTTGCAGACTCAGATTATTGATAATAATCAACAAATCAACTCTGATCTATTAGCTTAAGATAAGACTTTATTCATCCCCAGTTGACAAAATCAACAAGCTACCCATCTGTATTTAAATAAGACCTTTACCAGCTGCAAAATCAATATGATAAACACATTAATGCATCAATCATTAATAATAATGGGCTATTCAGTATAATGAATGCTTTTACTTTTGGAACCTTAAAGGGGACCTATCATGCAAAATGCACTTTTGTACATCTTTTATACATGAATATGTGTCCCCGGTGTTCCAGGGAACTCACCAAGTGTCAGAAAACACAACCCTCTCTATTTTCCTCCATACCCAAATCTCTAAAAAAGGGGCTGCAACGGATCTGATAAAAACTGATCCAGATTTGAACACTTTCCTGTCAGGAAAGTGGCGCTACGGCTATTGGGCCAACTCCACCAATCAGGAGGAGACAGCCACGGCCATTGCCGTTCGAAAGCCCTGGAGACGCTGTAGTACATATGCCAGGCCAGTAGATGGTGCTGTTCTCACAGAATCTGCCCTTGCAAAAACAGAGCTAGAAATTGTCAAATTGAGCAAAATGAGGCATGGCTAAAATGCATGATCTGTTTGGTATTTTGAAAAAAAAAAAGTATAAATATGCCTTATATAGGTATGGTCCTACACTATATTATTCAAATATAGCGTGATAGGTCCACTTTAAGTAAATCTTGATGCCCTTTTCTTTGTAACATTTTGAATGCAGGACTTTTACTTGTAATTTCTGTTCTGTAGTATTGCTACTTTTACTTAATTGTAAAATCTGAGTTCTTCTTCCACCTCTTGTTATAATTATTCTCATACTTCCTGTTGCAGGTTGATCATGCAGCAGCAACCAATCAGCACCGACCATTTTGGGCCCAACATGCAGCCTGGACCCTGTGCGTTGATCGGATTCGGTCCTGGTTTACCTCCACAGCTCACAACCCAGGAACCAATGCTGTTCAGCCAATCAGAGGAGCCCAAGAAACAGTCTTCATTGAGCCCCATGCAGGCTGTCAGAGTGACTAACGAAATGCAGTCAGGGTACCCAAAGTCTGGGTCCACTGCACTGATGAGCATAAGCCGGCCGAGACCCACCGCTTTGGGAACAAAACCTGCTTATAAGTCTCCCAGAATCTTAGAGGACCTCTCCAAGGAAATAGATTTGATCCCAGTTTGTATCCCAGGACCTCAGAGTGCCAACCACACGTCGCATTCGCAGACTGAGGCCTCCCTCTGCCGCCTCAGTCCTCAGAGCCCCCGCAGCCCTCAGCCTTTCACCAGCCAGCCTTACCTGAGCTCCTCCAACACCCTCAGCCCTCAGCCACAGAGAACCCCCTCACCTGGGGGCTCCTCACCGAGCCAAGAGCAGCCCAAGAAGCCAGGAGAGAACAATGACTTCAGGTAGACATTTCTTCATCCAGTGGTTAGAAAGGATTGAGTACTGTGAATGTTCCCTGTTGTGTCTAAATGCAGCTGCAGTCAGCGGCTGGAAGGAAACTGATGTGTCCCAGACCATGTCACATGCATCAATGCTGCCAAGAGCTTTGTGAACCTGACAGAGTGACACGGCCACATTTTATTGGCAGGCTTCCCAGAGGCATATTTTAGTTGTGATGCCCGCTCACTCACATGCCCCTTTCACACCAACGCGGTTCTCGTTCTAGCTCCGTGCTAGTGCTCTTCTGGTTCGGAATTGGTTTTTCTTTTGAGCCCCCCGTTTTGTTCACACCGCCCAGAGCCCGACTGGTACTGCCGCTGCTGCGTCATGACGTCACCGTTTACGTCGCTGATTTTCTCCCCAACGGCGCTCACAACAACAACAATGGGGGACTGCGTCGGGTCGATGATCGTGTTACTTTTAATCATACGAAGCCAGATTAAATTAAATAACGACTTCTCCAACCTTATACTTTTCTCCAGAGTGCCGTGGTTCATTGTTTATTAATGTGTTTCAGCGGCATTTACCGACCGCTCCAGTGCTGCTCTTCCACCGGAGTTTATTCTCCCGTTAACTCACACGGCAGCGGCCGCTGTAAAGTATTCACTGTCACTTTGCTCAGTGCTACTGCTTGTTACAACTTTTATATGCCGTACTCGCCATAAACTGTTAGCTCAGGTTAATCTCGCCCCCTCCGACGTAAGCGTGACGTATGCGGTCCTTGCTTCTAGACTGACCATTTTTTGATGCTTAGAGCCGGCTCCGCTGCGGTGTGAACAGGAAAAACCGGTGCTTATCAGGCTCTAGCTCCGAACCGGCCCTGGAACCGCGTTGGTGTGAAAGGGGCAACAGTGGCTGCCTGTGTAAACTCAGCTTAGATTTAGTATTCAGATTCAGCCAGTCATTCTGTCTCAAAACATGTATCATTATATAGAAATACACAAGTACATTACATTCAAGTGCATGTTAGCAGTTATTAGGGATGTAAGTAGGGAGAGTTTTTACTTGAATAGACAGAATGTCAAGATTTGAGAGTTTTCTGCTGAAAAGCATATCTATGATTTATGTTGTGTGTTTGTTAACAAACAAGGACAAAACAAGAACATTTTATAAAGTAAAAAAATTAGGCCAAAATTAGGCCATTCTTGACAATAAATGTTGTTCTAGAGCCAACACTCAGATCTAAATATCAAAGTGTCCTTGAATCAGAATCAGAAACAGGTTTATTGCCAGGTAGGTTTGCACATACTAGGAATTTGACTTGATGTCATGGTGCATACATAAAATATAAAAAACAAGAAATCTAATATAAAACAAAATCTTTTACACTGTAATATAATATAGTTAAATAGCAATAAAAATACAAATAAAGCAGTAATTTACATGGAAATAGAATGCTATGAATGAATTTTAGAATATAAACTATGAAATGTGAAATAAGAATATGTGCAGTAAGGAGTATGAACATTGTGTGCATTAATGTAATGCATATAGTCTATGATGTGGCAGAGGTAAAGTGTCAGCGGGGGGGGCCGGGCCTTGTTTAAGAGGCCGGTAGCGGAGGGGAAGAAACTGTTCAGGTGGCGAGAGGTATTGGTCCTGATGGAGCGCAGCCTCCTGCCAGAGGGGAGGGGGGTGAACAGTTTGTGTCCAGGGTGGGAGGGGTCGGCCACTATCTTCCCTGCCCGCCTCAGGGTCCTGGATGCATGCAGGTCGTGGAGGGATGGCAGATTGCAGCCGATCACCTTCTCTGCAGAGCGGATGACACGCTGCAGCCTGCCCTTATCCTTGGCTGTGGCTGCAGCGTACCAGATGGTGATGGAGGAGGTGAGGATGGACTCTAAGATGGAGGTGTAGAAGTTCACCATCATCGTCTTTGGCAGGTTGAATTTCTTCAGCTGCCTCAGGAAGAACATCCTCTGCTGTGCTTTTTTGATGAGGGAGCAGATGTTCTGCTCCCATTTGAGGTCCTGGGCGATGATGGTGCCCAGGAAGCGGAAAGACTTCACAGCAGTTACTGGGAAGTCACACAGAGTGATGGGGGCGGGAATGCACCAACAGGGAGAGTTTTTACAGTTTTTAAAGCAGCCTGTATTCAGAAATAAAACATGATGATAACATTGATGAAAACTAATAATAATAACAAAAACAACAACAAAAATTAAGATAATTATACACCTTTTCATGTGTCAGTTTTTAAACCAAGGCCACACAATATTTCACAAGATATAAATGCATGAAATACAACGCTAAAAACATTTGAGAGTAAGAAGGGTACATTTTGCCTCTGATAGTTTCAGTCTAAAACTAATTTCCTTTTACTGTACAATACATTAACTTTCGTGTTATAGACTACTGAAATCAATGGAAAAAATCTTAGATGTTATATGCCTTTGAACATTTTATTTAGGTAAAACATCCCAAAACACCAATGTTGTCCTTTAAGAAAATCCTGTTTAAAATAACTATATATATATATATTTAGCTTGCACTGTTTTCATGTGACTGCAGAAATCATAAATCTGGATAGAGAGCAGCACAATTTAAGGCCTGATTTAAGGATAATATAGTTGATTAATTGTTTAGCGAATCAGAAGAAAATAAACTGGCAACTATTTGAATACTAATTAAACGTTTGAGTCATACTTCAAGTGAATATGCCAGATATTAAATGTCACAGTGTGTTGCTTTTCTTCTACAATAATTAACTGAATCTGTGCGGGATTTGAACTTTAGACATTAGTAGACACCACCAGGTATTTTGGGAACCTGTGTTTGACATTTTTCATAATTTGTTGACATTTTAAAATCAATTAATATAAATGTCAGTACTACCCTAGTGAGATGTTTGTTTATTTGATAAAAAAGTGTTGCTGGTGTTGCTATTTCCATCTCTTTCTCTTTTCGAACACACACGCATACACACACACCTTAGTCATCTTCAAGGTACAAGGGGTGCTTAATTGTGCGTATCTTTTTTCTAAATACAGCAACACCGATGAAAGCTTTTTCTCTGAGGATTATAGCACAGATGATGTCCTCTTACACCCTACATTATATAATATATATAGTACTTGGATCTAATGCGGCATTTCCCATGCTTCTATCCTCTGAAAGGGTGTACATCGTCACGTGGAATGTGGGGTCAGCTGTCCCGCCAGATGACATCACTTCTCTGTTCGGACCAAATGTTTCAGATGGGAGCGTTGACATGTTTATCATCGGGTAAGCAAGTTTATCCGACAGGCTCAGCGCTGCCAGAGAGACAGCCTGTGCCCACTCAGTTATCTGTGTTCATCTTGATGTGCCCATCACTCTCCTTTTGATTATTGCTGTTGTATTCCACTTGTTAATGACATTTCTCTACTTTTCTGGCACCGCACAGATTCCAGGAAGTCAACTCCATGATAAACAAGCGGCTAAAGGAGGCTCTTTTTTCAGACCAGTGGAGTGAGCGTTGCATGGATACACTCAGTCCTTTTGGATATGTTTTGGTCAGTAAATCTGCTCATAATAAGACAAGATAATCCTTTATTAGTCCCACAGTGCGGACATTTGTAATAACAGCAGCAAAGTGGACAGTGCAACAGGAGGCATCAGTCAAAAAAATCTAGATACAATTAATAAAAAACAGTATAGATATAATAGATAAGTAAACGGTAAATATTCAAAATAAGAAAGTGAATCAACTTAATGCTTGAATTCACATGACTTCACCTATGAAATACTGATATTACACAGAATATTGTTATTGATATATGAGTTAAACTGTATATATTTTTTAACTCTTATCCTCTTTTGACCATTATAAAATCCAGTTCACCGTATTGATATATTATTTTTCATCCGTTTAGGTGGCGTCCCAGCGTATGCAGGGAGTGCTGCTGCTGGTTTTTTCCAAATGGTGCCATCTTCCCTTCCTCAGAGGTGTTCAGACAGAGAGTACGCGCACAGGTCTTGGGGGATATTGGGTACGTGCTTCAAAGGGCGCTGCTCTGAATTCTGAGATTTATTACATTGAAACGTTGGTGGTGGTGGGTTTCTATCAAAGGGGGGGTAGGATGTTAAAAGGTGGTGTGTGTGGTCCCTCCTCTGCGTGGATGCATGCGTGACCTTCCTGTGTGTTGATGTCAGCATCACCCCTGCGTGCTGCAGTCTCCTTCTCTTTGAGGTCAGTGCAGCAGCAGCAGGCTGTCTGGCTGTCTGGTGCTTTGATTCAGGGGCAGAAAAACATCCTGACTTTGTCCCTGAACACAGATACAATCCAGGGAAGAATAAAAATGTAACACATAAGGGATCCATTTCTCATTGTGTCCTCTCTCTGCCCTTTTTTTCCTCCCTCTAAGGGGAATAAAGGGGGCGTCAGTGCGAGGATGACGATGTTCGGCCACCCGGTGTGCTTCCTCAACTGTCACCTGCCCGCTCACATGAGGAACCTGGAGCAGCGCATGGAGGACTTTGAAAGCATCCTGCAGCAGCAGCAGTTTGAAGGAGGCACCGCCACGGGGGTGCTGGACCACGAGTGGGTGACATTTGAGTTTAATGAATGTAGCTCAAGATTGATTATCCATAAAACAAATGTGCACGTTCATTCACAAAATAGATTTATCTGCACCAAATTTGCTCACCAATAATAAATACATATTCGGGGCGGCATATTACATGATAGAGCAGGGGTGGGGAACCTTTTTCCTCTCAAGGGCCATTTACATTTTTACAACATCCTCCGAGGGCCATACAAATTATTGAACTCCACCTCTGCTTAAAAAAACTAAAATCACAGCCCATTCATTTCGCCTTTCTTTCATGCTGTGCAAAGAAATCCAGATATCTTACCATGACTCGCGCATGCATGCACGTGCACAGTTGTGGCATGACCACCAAAACAGAAAGATATGGACACAAGATGTGTGCAAATGTATTTAGTTTCCTATCCATGTGAACTTGATTTAAGTGGGGGATGGACCTAACCTCCTCTAGGGGGGTCCGGGTGCTACTCCCCCAGGAAGATTTTTTTTTAAATGTTGAAGTTAAAAGCATCAATCTGGTGCAATTTGAGAGCCAAATTAAGAGATCTATGGATACATCTCTCAACACCCATATGAAACAGAACTGTAAGCAGATTTTCTTTTTCTTTATGGATATTTTACAAATCACTCTCCTTTCAAACTGTATTCTTGTTTATTAGTAACAACTTTTTTTTACTGTCATAGGCTATAGTATTTTATACCTGTTTTTCATTTATTCTCTTATTTTTTTATAACTATAATGATCATATAAACGTGTGCCTTTACCTCACTGAGCTGAGGTTATCTGAACCTCTCAGTCTGTCAGGAGAGAGCTCTCTTCCACCTGGTTGTAGAAAAAGCTCCTTATATTCGTTAGCATATAGCTAACCAGATGCTAACAATCCCCGGTACCGCTCTCTCTCTCTCGCTCAAACAAAATGCGCTCGTGCCACACACACACACACACACACACACACACACACACACACACACACACACACACACACACACACACACACACACACACACACACACACACACACACACACACACACACATACTGTAATGTATCCTATTCTTTTCTATGGCGTGATTGACTGTATGATCAGTATGTCAGATGAACAGATCGCCACTGGGCTTACAACTACAGCCACGCAAAAACTGTGGCATGTGTAGAGCTCCTTATGTGCCGGAGCACTTCAAAAGCACTGCTCTCCGTCAGCACTACACCCCTGTCAGACGAGACACATACCACGAAACGACACGTTAGGCTTGTGTTGTGTTCAAGGAACCTGACCTTGGCCAGGAAAAACAGTCACTCGCTTGTTTAATTATTTTGCGGTCTAGATTTCTTTAATTATTTATTTTTTTGCGTGTGTTTATAAATTACCTCGAGGGCCGTATCAAATGGTCTTGCGCACCATATACGGCCCGGAGGCCGGAGGTTCCCCACCCCTGATGGAGCTTTAAAGTCTCATTATTTGACCTTGAATGTGTCTTTGGTTTCAAGTTAGACCATTTATTTGACAAACAATGCTACAGCTTTCTTGGGATAGCATCTAATATAAAATCAATTAGATATTCAATTGAACCTTTACATTTTCCTTTTAGAGTAAAATAAACAACTGCTGAAATGAAAATGTATTTTCTGTGTTTTTTCTGTCCCCAGTGTCGTTTTTTGGTTTGGGGATTTAAATTTCCGTATTGAGGACTATGACATCCATGTGGTGAAATGTGCCATCGAGAGCAGTAAACTTCCTCTTCTGTTGGAGCGAGATCAGGTGAGGCATTGTAAAATATTTCGCCCCACACATATGAATTATTTTAGAAGGCTTTACACCACCTGTTTGTCTCTAAATAACCAATGACAACCAACAGAGGGCACTGCTCTGCTCTGATTCTCCCCTCATTTGTCTTCTCTACAGCTAAACATGGCTAAAAACACAGAGTCTGTCCTTGAAGGCTTCCTTGAGGGACCTTTACATTTCCCTCCTACTTATAAGTTTGATGTGGGCACTCACACGTACGACACCAGGTTGGTCCAGTCGCCAAACTTACTCCATACATTTTATTTTCTATAAGCAGTGTCCTGTAAAAACTCCACTCTGACATTCAGCCCCTCTTTGACTCTTATTTTTTCAGTGCGAAGAAGAGGAAACCGGCCTGGACAGATCGCATCCTCTGGCGCACTCGTCGCACCGGCTCCCCAGTTCCTACCCACAATGCAGCACTGCAGCGGGGTCTGACCTCCTGGCTGGGTGGAGCGACTAAAGTGACACAGCATGTGTACCGAAGTCACATGGGCTACACCATCAGCGACCACAAGCCTGTTTCTGCTGTGTTTTCACTGCATGTAAGACGATATTCCCTCAAATGTTATCTTATCTTAAATACAGCAATACAAATGCATTAATGATATCTTTGTATAGCTTATTTTTATACCTTTTCCCAATCTTAACATGACTTCAAATCCATCAATGCTCTTTTCAAAGCCACCATTGTCAAAGCCAGTAATTTTACCTCGCTGTGTGTGTGTGTGTGTGTGTGTGTGTGTGTGTGTGTGTGTGTGTGTGTGTGTGTGTGTGTGTGTGTGTGTGTGTGTGTGTGTGTGTGTGTGTGTGTGTGTGTGTGTGTGTGTGTGTGTGTGTGTGTGTGTGTGTGTGTGTGTGTGTGTGTGTGTGTGTGTGGTGTGTGTGTGTGTGTGTGTGTGTGTGTGTGTGTGTGTGTGTGTGTGTGTGTGTGTGTGTGTGTGTGTGTGTGTGTGTGTGTGTGTGTGTGTGTGTGTGGTGTGTGTGTGTGTGTGTGTGTGTGTGTGTGTGTGTGTGTGTGTGTGGTGTGTGTGTGTGTGTGTGTGTGTGTGTGTGTGTGTGTGTGTGTGTGTGTGTGTGTGTGTGGTGTGTGTGTGTGTGTGTGTGTGTGTGTGTGTGTGTGTGTGTGTGTGTGTGTGTGTGTGGTGTGTGTGGTGTGTGTGTGTGTGTGTGTGTGTGTGTGTGTGTGTGTGTGTGTGTGGGTGCTGTGTGTGTGTGTGTGTGTGTGTGTGTGTGTGTGTGTGTGTGTGTGTGTGTGTAAACCTGTTTCAAACACTAAAGTCAACAATAATATACAAATAATTAAACAATTCTCAATATAGATTAAACTTAAACTGATATGGTTACTTCAATGCTACTGGTTCTGCTGTCTATTTCTTCAAACTTGGGGCGTGCCAACATTCATTCACTTACTGAGGATGAGTAACTAATTCGACCCCACTTCAAAACAACCCAAACTGTCCCTTTAACGTCTATGTTCTCGTTCTCCTAGTTCCCATTCAAGGTGGATATGCCCCTGGTGGAGCTGCAGGTAAACAAGGAGTGGTGTAAAGTCTCAGAAGCTACAGTTCGATTCACAGTTGCATCGACTTATCAGCGCAGCTCGTGGGACTGGGTAGCAATATACAAGGTAACACGCAGTTTGATTTTGGTCAAAAGCTCATGAAAAAAAATCTATTTTTATTTAATGCCCAGTTTCAGCATTTGAAATGATGCCCATTTGTTATTCTGCAACAGGTTGGATTCAGACATCACAAAGATTACCAGGCATACATATGGGCCAAGGGAGAGCATGCAACACAGGTTTGTGTCAGACACTCAAATGCCATTTACTTTGAGCTGCAGCTGAATTTAAATTGTAACTGTATTTCTGTTCTTTTTGTTCCCCAGGTGACATTTTCAGATGAGGATCTGCCGAGAGATGATGGTGAATACATCCTGGGCTACTACAGTAACAACATGAACAGCATTGTTGGACTGTCAATGCCAATTCAGGTAACAAAAGTCAGAGGACAAAAGGTTAGCCACTCACGGCTTGGTATGATGTGTTTATGAATGAATATGCCCATATAGAGTATAAGGCCATAAGTATGTGTACTCCCAGGCACGCAGCCATGTTACTGTGCTTATGTTAAATCCACACTTTGAGAACATTTTTCCATAAGTCTTTAGCCCAGGGTGCAGAGAAAAGAGTATTAGTGAAGTGGGACACTGATAGGCCGATTCACAATCTTTGTTCTAGTTTATCATTAATATTGTTCTTTCCACACAAACTGGATAAACCAGTGTGCCTGAATGCATCATCCTGTTTAAACAGGACAGGACCTTCTCAAAACTCCAACAAAGTTAATCAATGGACACAAAATAATTCAGCAACTAGATTGACAAATGTATTGTTTTCAATCATTTCATTTAATAATAATATATTTATTTTCCTAAAACGCTTATATTACATTTTCCCTTCTCAAAACGAAGTTACAATTGGGATCCCTTAGCAATCAAAGAACATAAACACATAAAAACAAAGCACTAAAAGAATACAATTATGCAAACCACATCAAAGTTCTTAAAACGGCAAACCCATGAACCAAAACTAACTCGAATCAGTTCAAATACAATTACAAGTATGTTATGTAATATAAGCTTGGATTAAAATGACCCAGCATGATACTTTCCTGTACTTTAGTATTTCTGCTTATATATGTTTTTATTACATATAAGGAAATAATGTACCTCTTACTGCTTTATCTAACATCCATTGCTACTTGTTGCAAATAAATATTGTTTATTGATTTTTGTATGTGCTATGTGTACAAAATGTGATGTATTGCTATAGAATAACAGTACATTAAGTAAATTAGCTACACCTAAACGATGTAAAACATTAAAATGTGGCTCCAAAATGAAAAACAAATGATTCAATAACACTGAAAGGGCATACAATTAGTACTTCATAAGATCTGTTTTCTGTACTTTGAATTCAATAAAAGTTTGAATTAAGTAATTTTACTTATAGTAGAGTATTTTTATAATGCAGGGTTTTTTTCTTTTACTTAGGAAATTATATGTAGATGTGTGCCCACATACTTCAGGGCTATATTCCATTACTGCAACCTATTGAATGCCCTTATCCCTTACCTGCACAGATCAGGATCCCCATCCACAGCCCCACCGCGCGTCGCTCCAGCAGCTCGGAGGTCAGCTCAGAAGACGACAGCACTCTGGTCCTGCTGGCTCCGTGCTCCCGCAGCCCCAGCCCCAAAAACGGCAAACACCACCACCGCCATCGCCGCAGCCGAAGCCCCGCCCCCCCCTGCTCTCTCCTCCAACCCCCTCCCCTCCCTGCAGGGCCTCAGCCTCTGTCCTCGCTCCAAAGAAGGACAGACTCTCTCCCCCTCATCTGCTGCTAAGAAGGAGCGACTGGTCTCGCCCGACACTGTGTTGTCCCCCACCATCAGCCCGCTCACCCCCCGCAGCCCGGTGTCTCCGGGCAGGGGGGTGACTGCACCCGAGGCTCTGATCGCTGCCATCCTAGGTGAACACAGACCAGCTCAGGTTAGCCCCACAGGGGTCAAACACATAGGAAAGACAGGGAAAACAGACACATAGAATATGAACATCTATTTTTAAAGGGATACTTCACACAAAGAAAGGCCATTTGTGTATCAATATTTCACCCTATGTTATTTTGAATTATTAAAGACAATGTTTCGCTTCCATGCCTTTACATTAACCTCAAAAACATTTTTTAAAGTCATGAAGGAACTAATAAATAAAACACAGCAAAACTATATCAACATTTCCGTTGACAAAAACACTTAAACAACTTGTGCAGTATAATCTAATTATTATTTATCCTGTATGATCACTACTTCCCAAGCGCATGCATTTTAACTAAACCTTATTATTTAAAAGACTCTAGACACGAACGGATAAAAAGCTGTTTATAGAGGAAGCTTTTAAATAGTAAGGTTTGAGCGAAAATGCATGTTTGCATGAATTGAGTCAGAGTTTGTAAAGATATTTCTTTTTCATATAGTTTTGCATACCTCTTATTCACTTAAATTCATTGAGAATTTTCTCAGTTATAAGATTCTTGGTTCCTCGTGGAGGCATGAGAGAAAAACAAAGTTTTATTCAAGAACCCAAAGTAACACATTGTTAGTTATTTATGTACAAATGGTCATTTTTTTGGGAAAGTATTCCTTTAAAAGGAGGTGATGTACAAAGAAAACAACGGCAATATTCATGCATTCAGGGTCCGATCATATCCCACAAAGTGGCAGTGCTCGTAGAAGCAGCACATTCGGTGACTCCTAATGTAGTTTGCAAACATTCCCGTTGTAGCACTGCAGTACTCTGTCTCTGAATCTACCATCACCTCATACACTATGTGTATCCTGGAGTCAAAGATGTGTCCTGACTCCTCAAGACAAGTGCTTTTATTTATAGATTCATAAGCTATATCATAGGTTAACAAACATATTGAATGTGAAACCAAAGTCAGAGTAAACCTGTGATGAATGTGACCGGTTGTTAATTACAGCAATACGATTTGGGGCTGCAACTAGATATTATTTTTTATTGTTTGTTAATTTGTAGATTATTTTCTTGATCAATCAAATAGTTGTTTAATCTATTAAATGTCCGAAAACAGTGAAAAACGTTAATGAGTGTTTTCCAAAGCCCAAGATGACGTCTTAAAATGTCTTATTCTGTCCGCAACTCATAGAGTAAACAAACCGGAATTATCTTTCCTTAGAAATCTTCTAAAACCAAATAATTGATTATCATAATAGTTGGCATTTCATTTAATCTTTGCAGCTCTAATATGGATCCATGTAAACAGTCCTTTATGAAAATAAGGACCCTTGACCAGAAGCATAGATGGTATCATAGTTCACATCAGTGTGTGATTGTGTGTGTGTATGTGAGAGAGAGACTTTGTGCAGACCTGTGTGTTCAAAACAGAAATGTGTGAAACATGCATTTTTTTTGGACCAGATGTTTTAAACTTTTAACTCTGTAGTTCTTGGTCTGTATTCTTGACATTTTAAAAGTAAACTAAAAAGGAGCATTTTACGTCCTCAGAGTAATGAAATGTAAACGTGTCCTTGTGACTTGAACAGTAATCTTAGATCAATGCTCTTTTTCCTCGCAGCCTTGTGAATACAGCCCCTGTTCTACGGAGTCAGTGAGTGGGTGTACTCATTTGTTTGTTTTGCTTAATGGAAATGACATTTAATTGTGTGAGTGTGCAAATAAAACCAGAACAAAAAGAGTAAACTGAGCCAATACTGTTTATTGGACAAATACTCCAACAAGATGTGTATTTGTGTTTAAACATGGACTCAGTGTATTGACTTTAAGACCTTTGAGTTAATCTCTGCTAATCAGCTTAACCTTTAAACCTTATTCAAATTATTTACCTCTATTTATTTATTTATGTATAGTAACTTTGCTTTTAAGTCATCTCTTTGTCCCAAATACATTTTTATAAGCCAATACGATACAATGTTTAAAACACTTTAACAGCTAAACTATTTCAACATTTCCGTTGACAAAAATACTCAAACAACTTGTGCAGTATAATCTAATTCTTATTTATCCTGTATGATCATTTACTTCCCAAGCACATGCATTTGAACTAAAACCTTATTATCTAATACACTTTAGACGCGCACGGATAAAAAGCTGTTTATAGAGGAAGCTTTTAAATAGTAAGGTTTGAGCTAAAATGCACATGTTTGCATGAATTGAGTCAGATTATAGTTTGGTAGTATTTAAATTCATCCCTTATTCACTTCAATTAATTGGGACTTTTCTCAGTTATAAGATTATTGGTTCCTCATGGAGGCATGTTAGAAAAACAAAGTTTTTTTCAAGAAGGTAACACAGTAGTTATTTATTTACAAATGGTCATGTTTTGTAGGGAAAGTATTTATTTAAAAGGAGGTTATGTACAAAGAAAACAACGGCAATATAATTCTTATTTATCCTGTATGATCATTAGGCTACTTCCCAAGCACATGCATTTGAACTAAAACCTTATTATTTAATACACTTTAGACGAGCACGGATAAAAAGCTGTTTATAGAGGAAGCTTTTAAGGTTTGAGCGAAAATGCATATGTTTGCATTAATTGAGTCGGATATAGTTTTGTAGTATTTAAATTCGTCCCTTATTCACTTCAATTAATTGAGACTTTTCTCAGTTATAAGATTCTTGGTTCCTCGTGGAGGCATGTTAGAAAAACAAAGTTGTATTCAAGAAGGTAACACAGTGTTAGTTATTTATTGTTGTTGGGAAAGTATAAAAGGAGGTGATGTACAAAGAAAACAACGGCAATATTCATGCATTCAGGCTCCGATCGTATCCCACAAAGACGATTGGTCGTGCTTTTTACAGCGCCACGGCTTCCACAGATGAATTTTTTCTTATGTATTTATTGTCAAAGCATTTAATGTATTGCTATCGGGATGTTAAGAGCATTCCATGGAATATAACAAGTGTTTCTGAAGTGAATTACCTACCCTACCTTTAAGCAAAAGTACAAATATTGAACACCACTGTCAAGGTAGAAGCATATCTATGGGTAGAAGGCATGGTAGAAGGATGCTTAACCGTCACTTCCTGGAGTTTTTTTACTCCGAGGGACTTTCACTTTATTAAATTAGAGCACGCCCATTTGCACCACATGGTGTGTGCTCAACAACAACATTGGCTGCAGAGAATTGACTAGAAGGGCCTGAAGAAGTTGTTTAGGCAACAGTCTGACTCAATCTGCACTACACCCTGCTGAGGATACACGTGAAGCAGCGTGCTCACTGAGTGTTTGACAGCAGCAGATCCAGGTAAAGGCTCTAACAACCCTGCACGGCTTCACTAAAACTGCTAACTGAACGGCTAGCTTGTTAGCTTCCCGCCTGCTTATTGGGTAAAATGAACGGCTATCAGAACGGTTTCCATAACAACTCGCACATTGATGAAGACTGCTTCCTCTTCACGTCTGAATCAGTCGGAGAGGGACACCCCGGTAAGTTTGTAATGTATATTAACTGCATTCCTGGAAGTAGTTTTCCTTTATTGTATAATAATTAGCCTGATAGCACCCTGTTAGCCTCTCAAACAAGGTCACGCTGCTTGTTACTCTTAACGTAGCTCAGCGTGTTGTTGTGTGTCAGCTCTCCATTAAGTACCCTGCGCATCATCTCTGTTCCTCTGTGTCGTCACCGTTAACAAGTGTCTATAAAGTAGCCCAGCTGCATGTCATTGAGGCTTGAAGTTACAACATACTTCATAAATGCTGGGGTAATGTTGCCAGCTTATGAAATTTAAGTTGGAGCGTCGTAGCTGAATGCTAACCAAACGGTGGCTAACTGTTTAAGCTAACACGCTGAAGTTTCGTTCAGATTCCCAGCTTCTGGTTCTCCTGCTCTAGAGTGTAAACTTTACTTACTGAATGAGACTTACATTGTGTCTCATACTGTTGTGAAAGCATGTTAGAAAGGCAGGTAAAGCCTTTACGCTGTCTGAAACCCACTTACAACTTTGTCAAACCTATATTCTGTTATGAATAATGCAAAAAAGGGAAGACGTCAGTACGTGTTTTTTATTTTGCCAAAACCTGGACCACATTGAACGAGGTCTCCTACAAAAATGTCCATACTTTCACTGAACTATATTATCATAGATAAGCAAGAGATACATGTTCCACTTGTGAAGTATTTGTCGTATTTGTGAACATGCAAAAAAAAAAGGAGATTTCACTGCTTTTTAAAGGCCTACATCTAGATTAAATAGAACCAGGTCCACATCAAAACCCACAAAACGTACGTGAACAATGTTCTCTATGATGAAGCCTTTTTTTAGAACTCTATTAAACATTATGGTAATTTGGAAACCTTTTAGTATGTGGTTCTGTGCTGCCAGTGAGGCTGAACTAAATGTTAACTTATACACATTTCGGCCTCCAAAGTATCCATTAAACTTCGAAACTGTTCATAAAAACTAAACAAATAACAGTACAGTACATCTTCAGCATACTGCGTTTCAATTTGAGAACATTTTACTGCAGCTTGTACAATACGCTGCAGTTTCCGTCCTAAGTTGGGCGAGCTTCATTGTTAATAGGCTTACCAGTAGTCCTAATTATAGGCAGTGCAGGGGCTTCTGATCATCTGTGGATGTAACAGTCACATACACATTGTTTATAGTTGCAGGAACATAGAAGCACCTAAAGAGATTTCTACTAAAGGTGTGTTTAAGTGTACATTTACATTTACTCTGCATTAATAGAAAGCTGCTTACTTATTTGGAACAAATTCAAACTGCTTCGATCCTCTTAGAAATGCTGTCACACTAGTCCTGAATTGGGTTTTAGGGGATTAATTGCAGTAATAATTGCAGTACATGTCAGGGAGGGAAGGCCTCAAAGGGTTTAGGAATTAGGGAGCTGTGGAAGGAAAAAGGCAAACATTCCTTGTACAGCTGTAGCAATTATTTTATCAGTCTTTTCAGTGAAACATAATTGGCTAACTGGTTTGATAAGGAAATAACAATCAAAGTATTTTTCAGGCCAAAACGAGTTTCCTGCTTTACTGTTTTGTATCATATAAAACTGAATGTCTTTGTGTTTATTTACAGATAAGATTTGTGACCAAATCAGTGATGCTGTGTTGGACGCACACCTCAGACAAGACCCTGATGCCAAAGTAGCATGTGGTACGAAAGTGAAATCCTTGTTGGCTTTGACAACCTTCACCACCTTGTCCTTAATGATCCGTTTTACTTAGTCTTACTCTCATCCACTGCATGTCATTGTGTCCTCAGAGACTGTTGCTAAGACGGGGATGATCCTGCTGGCTGGGGAGATCACCTCCAGAGCCAGCGTTGACTACCAGAAGATTGTCAGGGAAACAATCAAACACATTGGGTATGACGACTCCTCCAAAGGTATGGTTTTAAAGTAACAGTTAAAACCTCTTTCCTAAATACAAACTATAGCAGTTATTTAAAATATGTGAGTATTTAGATTTACACATAGGATTGTATCAATTCACCCTAAAGATTTCCTCGTTTCCAAAGAAGTAGCAGTATTGTCAGAATATGTAGCGAGAATTAAAGTTATTTTGGACTGCAATCATCCCACATAGTGAATGCTTTTCAGTATTGTACAAAAAATCCAGATCTACTTAAAGTATAAATACTACAGTCTAGAAATACTTTCCAACAAGTAAAAGTCCCTGACAAATATCCATACTTAAGTGAAAAGTCAACAATTATAAGCAGCAAAATTGTAAAACTACAAAAAAATGGTATTTAGGTACAGTACTTGACTTAGTGTACTTGGTTATTGTCCACTAGCGCTGTCCCGAATACCATTTTTCGGGCTCCGGATATTCGGTAGTAATCAGCAGCGAATATTCGGATATTCGGCCCGCGCGGGAGGAGGTGCGTAATAATCAGCAGCAAACCGCTTCACGTGTATTTCGGTTTATTCACGGCATTCATTTTGTTATTCTACAGTATTTATAGTTATTTGTTAATGTATATAACCCAATTTGTGTTCTTTGAAATTGAAAAGGATATCGCATTGTGTTTGTTACTTTCGTTGCAGTTGTATATATGTGACCCGCTCTATCGAAATCAGTCGGAAGTCGCAACGGCTCATTTCAAAATAAACGTGGATTTGCGTAAAAAAATATTTTTTCGGGGTTCGGGTGTTTTGTTTGATTTTAAATAAACAAAGTCTTGGCTTTCAGAATATGAAACTTTTATTTCCAAAATCACACGATAAATACATTTGTGAAGCTTGTAAAGGGAAGATGACAGGCACCTCTCACTCGCAATCTGCTCTTCCGCAGCGCCGCTCCCCCTCCCTCCGGCTGAAATTATGAATGTAAGGCATATAGTAATCATAGATAACACGGCAGGGTCCGTTACAGTTTGTTTTCATCTGATTTCAAATAAACAAAGTCTTGGCTTTCAGAATATTAAACTTGTTTCGGCAAATTTAGATGATAAATACAACTTTGAAGCTTGTAACGGCATAATTACAAGCGGAGAACGGAGTAATTTAACGTCACAGCAGTTATAACAACAGCCGGTGTTTCTCGTGAGTGTTTTCCCCGGGAAATAAACACAATATACACAAACGCAAAAATACACAAACACACACACACATACACACATACACACACACACACACACACACTCGCGAGCTTCCCCCAGACCAGTAATCCAAACGGAAATATTTTCCCTCCGGACTATTTTGATCATTTGCT